CCCGGGCCCCCCGCGGGGGTCCCCCCCCCCCCATGAGACCCCACTGGCCACCCCCAGCAGCCCCCCCGGCAGAGCAGGCCAGTGGCTGCCGCCCGCGACGTCCTCCCAAATTCCGGTGCTTTGACGTTTTTCCCCAGAAACGCCCCCGGTTTGGGCACCGCAGGGCAAAGCCGCAGCCGGGGCACGCAGGAAGCGGATGGGGCCAGTGGGGGGAGGAGCGGAAAGCCCCGTGTGCTGCCCCCACCCCGTGACCCCCACAAACCAGGCACTGCCACGACCGAGCTTTGTCCCGCTTTATTCACACTCATCTCACAGCCACAGATTAGACAGTGAAGCCCCTTCCGCAGACTAGCACAGCCCCGACACTGGTCCCAGTGCCGGGGACTGGGGGGGGGGGGCGGGGAGGGGGGCCCAGGCATCTCCCGCTGCAGGGCTCCCCCGTGCCTCAGTTTCCCCACCTGTAAAAGGGGGGGTCACACTACTGACCTGTTTGCCAGGTGGCTGGGGAGCAGCAACAGAGGTAGGTTGGTGGGGGGACCCCAAACTCCGCTCCCCACTCCCAAACCCCCATTCGTCTCCCGCCCCTCTCCAAAAAATAAGGAAAGACTAGGGTGGTCTCCTGCTAATCAGCAGTTCCCCTGCTCCCTCCCCCCAACTTGGGGTACCCCAATTTATTCCCAGGGGAAATGCACCCCAAGCAGCATCCTTGCTTCGCCTGCCACCCCCTTCCCAAGGCACCCGCTCCTCAGCCGGGCCCTTGGAAGCAATAAATAACGCGGGGAGGTCCCGGCGGGGGGGCGGGGGCGGCCAGAGGAGGGGGGGGTGCAGGGTCCGGCACGGTTCCGAGGACACCCTGGGGTCAGAGTCAGGCCGTCCCGTTGGGGAGCCAGCCGGGGCTTCGGTCCTTGCGGATGGGCAAGGGGGACATGGGGGGCTCGTCCTCCCCAGGGGACTGATCCGTTTCGGCATCGGAGGGTTCACCCGAGCCGCACCGGCGGGTCTCGGGGCTGTAGAAGAAGGAGAGGGTGCGGAAAGCAGGTGCCATGTGGTCCTTGATGCTCTCCAGGAGCTGGACGAAGGAAGGGCGCTGGCGCGGGTTCTGCTGCCAGCACAGGCACATCAGCTCGTGGCTACAAGAGAGAGGGTACCTGCTGGGTTTTGGAGGGGTCCCAGCACCCCACGGCCATCCCAACACTGTAGAGACCAGAGGCCAGGGTGATGGGCTCAGTGCTGATTTCCTCCACCCCGCCTTTCTCACAGCAGGCTGGGGGTCCAGGGGAGGTCTCCCCCCACTACTCACAGTTTGTCAGGACAGTTTTCGGGCCGCTCCAGGACACCATTGTCCATGACAAAGCGCAGGACCTGCTCGTTGGACATGCCCTGGTAGGGCTGCTCAGCCAGTGTGGCGATCTCCCACAGTACCACGCCGAAGGACCTACCGGCAGGCTGTCGCTCAGCTGGGGGGTGTCCCCCAAATCCCCCCAGGCTCACCCCACTCCAACACCTACCAGACATCAGACTGCGTGTTGAAGATGCCATCCTTGAGGGCCTCAGGGGACATCCAGCGGACGGGAAGCAGCCCCTTGCCCCCTTTCCGATAATAATCTGTTTCATAGATATCCCGGGTCATGCCGAAATCTGGTGGAGGAGGAAGAGGAGGAGGAAGGCATGAGCACTGGGAGATGCGGGGCTGGCGGCGAGCCCACCCACCGCTGCCCACCCACCTCCAATCTTGACAGTGAAGTCCTCGGACACCATGCAGTTGCGGGCGGCCAGGTCCCGGTGCACAAACTTGTTGGCATTGAGGTACGCCATGCCGTCGGCAATCTCCCCCGCCATCTGGATCATGTCTTTGAGTGATGGCGGCGGCAGCCCAGGGTTGTTCTACACCGTGCACAGAGAGTTAGGGCTGGGGGGGGGCACACCGGCACTCCCCTGCCCCATGAACAGGGTGGGTGCCTCTTCGCCCGTGGGGTACTGTGGCACCCAGCCAGCCCCTCACCTCGGCATCAGGCCTGAGTGAGCGTAAGTAGCTCTTCAGGTCTCCGCGCGTCATCAGCTCCATGATGACCAAAGCTGGCTGGCCCTGGGACACGACGCCAAGCAGGCGGACCTGGGGGGGACAAAGAGGGGTGGCACATGAGTGGCCGGACCCCCCTTTGTCCCCTCCCTCCCCCCTCGGCCGCCCACCTACCACGTGGTGGCACTTGAAGGCTTTCATGACAGAGGCC